GAAAGCTGGGAAACCCATTCAATAGTGAGGTGATAAATGGAGTACCACATGCTGATTCCATGGGCCCTCCAGTTTCGCTAAAGCCTGTCGTGTGATGCGCGCGATAGCGGGCGGAGCAAAACTGGTCATATTTATTCGAGCATCCCATTCATCCTCAAGAACTCTAGAAGGTGTAGCGGTCGAAAGGTGTTTGAGTTTACAATTACAACGCTGATGAAATGATATTGAAATGAAAGGCATTATCTACAATCTGCTCTCTTTCTATTTCAAGCTCTCTACGTTCGTACGCATATCGTTACTATCAGTCCTCATCAGTCGTTATCACTTTTTGACCCCCACCAAATATGTTCCCGTCCCACCCCTATATCATGCCCCAAAATCAGCTCCTGACGACTGCTGCGAAGCGCACTATGAATTTCGTGAAATTTGTGTTTCAGCGCCTCTTATCTGCTCTTATCAGTCGTTATCACTTTGTGACCCCCACCAAATATGTTCCCGTCCCACCCCCTATATCATATCCAAAATCAGCTCCTAACGACTGCTGCGACGCGTGCTATGAATTTCGTGACACACGCACACACACACACAACAGACAGACTTAGCGTTTTATTATATACCAGATTAGTCCCCCGTCAACCGCCGGGACCTTCCTTTCCTGCGCAAGCTTTCTATCCTCCGCTATGGTCCCTTCCTCCTGTGACACCAACACCTCTGGAAGTGACGCGTATGCAACACAATGGTGTTTCATACAGTAGAAGGGACACAATCATGATATGACGGTAGATTTTTCGCTTCCCTTCCTCATCCTCCCTTCCTCTCTCCACTGCCCTCCAGCTGCCACTGCAGCACCATGTGGAATGAACGGAAGTGTGCTAAGCAGGTGTTTATATAGCCCTAAGAGTGTTATCACAACTATCCTGCTACAAAACATTGATATCTCAAATCCTGTAAGCTACCCGATTTGTTAGCGGTTTGTTTATCCCATGAGCTTCCTTCTCACTCACTTCATTTTGCGGACGGACACACATACATACATACACACACACGCACACACACACACACATACAGATACACAAACCGACACACAAAGTTAGCGCTTTATAAAATAGAAGGATATACCTGCGAGTATGGACGCTGTAGTGTCAACGCAAGCTGCGTAACGGAATCGACGACTTTTGCGTTCTGACGCCCCTTATCAGCCCTTATCAGTTGTAACCACTTTCCATCACCTACCAACAATGTCCCCGTCCCACCCCACATGACACCTGCGAGTATGGACGCTAGTGTCAACGCAAGCTGCGTAACGGAATCGACGACTTTGCATTCTAACTTCCATTCCTATATCATTATCAGTTGCTATCGCTTCCAATCATGTACCACCAATTGTTCCGGGACCACCCCACATAACACTTGTAAGTATAGACGCTCTAGTACCAATATGAACGACAAAACGAAATTGGCGATGCTCGCTTTCTAGCCCCTCTTATCAGCTATTATCAGTCGTTATCAGTTCCTATCACGTACCACTTGAGTCCCCATCCCACCCCCTATAACATATGTAAGAACCATGGCGCTATCGTTGCTGTGACCCGAGCTACGAATTTCGTGACAAACACACACACAGACCTACACACACACACAGACATACTTAGCGAATTATATATAGTTGTCGGAAAAGTCTTTGCGCATTTGGCAACTTTTTTTCAAAATTGTTTTTCTTCTTTAGAAAAACCAATCCATTTGCTAACATTATCGTTCACCAATAGCAGTGGACTTCGTTGGCAGCAGCTCTCCGTGAGCGAAACATTTGCAGCCTCATGAGCTTTCAATGTTGCCTCCCAAGTTGCAGTTCTCGAATCGGCGTTGCAATCTTTGTTCTACGCATCCGAGCCAGTCGTGCTTTCGCGTGCGGTAAATCTGAGGATCCCACTTCTTGACACTACCAACAAAGTTGGCGGATCAAGCGATAGACGGGCGGGAAATCAAAATATTCTTGCAGAATTTAATGGTCTCAATAGCGTGTAGTCAGTCAGATCTCAAAATATGCTTTCGCCATAATTTCACTTCTTTTAGAGGCTATATTGAGGAACGGTCATTGTGATCTGAAAGAGCTCCGCCAATTACCATGCATTGCACTAAGCACTCTCCAATCGAATTCAGAATGCACTCGTCAATGAGGGTGGCAGGCCGATCAGATTTGTGGTTTTTTTCGCAAGTATCTCGAACTCGGCAACCAAATAATCACCATATTGTGAAAGATAGTTCAGAGGATAATCACGACATGTAGAACTCCCACTGCTTCGCTCCTATCAACGCATTTTAGAGGCTTATAAAGGCAGGACCAGTTAGACATACCTTCGGTGAAAGGCGATTTTTAAGCTTCAAAAGCTGCGAAATGCTACGACAGAAATGCTGTGAAGAGAGCATTAACCACCGCTCATATGCGTATGACAGTGAATGTTTCAAAACAATTCGAAAAGATTTTGCAAGGTGAAAATGAAAATGCGCAAGAACTTTTCCGACAACCTAATATTAGTAGGATGCTTCGGCGCTTCTCGGTCAGATAATAATCAGTGTTACAATATCATATACTGTAGGATTCTCGACGAAATTGTCCGTTATGAGGTGACGCTGACCAATTTTCAGCGTGAACTGACACTTCGGCAATTAATGTGCCTCTTTTGCTAGGATTTTCCTTTAACGAGATTCTGGCAGCGGTTTCGCTTTTGCAATGACCTATGTGACCTATCGGGATAATAATCTCAAAATTTGATTGTAAAAAATAAAGTGCAGCGGAGAAACATGTGGTGGAACTATAATTTTGCGCCATTGGCAGAGCGAGTATTTTCAGAAAAATGAAAATAAAAAATTGTTGCTTCCTCGAACTGGAATTCTGTATGATTGACAGCGTGTATCACCTGTATCACCTGTCGTCCCGTTGATCGTCGATTTGCTCGAGCGGGCGCCAGCAACGTCTCCATTCGTCCCTGTCGCGTGCTAGAGTGGTCCAGTGGATCCTCCTTGCTCGAGGGACACGAAGTCCATCATTCCTTTCGTTCAGAGCTTTCGTGAAGAAGTCTGACCATCGGGCCGGCGGTCGTCCAGGTGTTCGTTTGACGTCCCGAGGGATCCAGTCGGTAACCGCTCTGGTCCAACGGTCATCGCAAAATCGCATGACGTGTCCGGCCCACCTTATCTTCGATTCCTTGGCGAAAACGGCAGCGTCCCTGATCTTCGATCGTTGGCGTAGTTCCGAACTCCGGATTCCCCTCTGCACTTGCGTGTATAGGGTTACTCCTAGCATCGTCCTCTCGACAGCGCGTTGGATAACGCTGACCGCATGCTCGTCCTGCCTGCGCAGAGTCCAAGTCTCTGAGGCGTAGGTTAGGGCAGGAAGGACAGCGGAATCGAAGAGGTGGGCACGGAGCCGGATGTTCTTCGTCTTCTTCACTACTCCTCACTGGACCCTTTTCCGAAAACATCTCCATCTACAAGTTTTTGAGGAATCCGTAGGTGGAACTAAAATTATGCGTCGCAGTGTACTTAGGCCACCTGATTACTGATTGCTCCATAGAGAAATGAGCTGCAACACTTGTTTCCGGAAGCGATGTGTGATGTGGTGTGCTGTTGCGCACGGTTGTGTGGTGTGTGGTGCAGGGTGAATAACGGTCGAGGAAATCCTCGACAGGGGGTCGTATTTGCTCCGATGAGAGTTGGGAGGGGGTCGTAATCAAAAGGGTCATCAACGGACACAACGGTGCTGCTGCCACTTATTTGCTGTCATCATTACTTTCACAAGTTGTAGTTAGCCTAATGCAAATAATATCTTACACCTGTCTGGAATTAAAATTCAAATGGAAAGTGGTGTGTTGGTTTGGTTCGTAGTGATCAGTGTGGCATAGGAAGGCAACGCGTCCTGCAAAAGAATCGTAGGGAAAGGGCAGCGAGTATCTACTCTAGAATGATGTAATGCTTCGAAAACTTAGTGGAGGAACAGCATCTTGTTAGAAAGTTCAAAACAGGCAGATTCGCAGCCTTCTTGGCATCATCAGATCCTGCAACCGCAAGCGTGTCATTCATCAGAACGGGTTGGAAAGGAAGCGATTTCAATAAAGGAATAATCAGACATCACTATGACTACAAGAGTCATCCTAATTAGTTAATACTGGAAATATCTTTTGGTGTGCTTAAGGAAGTCGTCACTAAGACAAACCACCTTCCCAATGACTCCGAGTGGGGTCACTGCATGGCGCATACAGGAACGGAATGGATCCGCGCCAGGTGCATCATTTTCAATTTACTCCATCGAACTGACGTGTATAGAAGTATTTTGAAGGTGTTCAAAGAAGTTCCCTACTACGGCGAGGGAGTAATAGAGTTTTCGAGTGGCTTCGAAAATTTCCTTGACATTTCCTCGACGCAGATTTCTCGCGAACTAGAAAGCGTTCGAAACAATGGAGCACCTATCAGAAAGCGTAAATCTTCTACTTTACAACGCTTTCCTCCGGATTTTCAAAGCATTGCCAATGAAGACAGCTATAATCGATTCCTCGACCATCGATATCCAACCGATAGATTCATTATAGTTCAATGTAATGTGATAAGACGTTCATGTTTGTTTATAATGATGTTCCAAAACAACCAGGCTATAAAAGCCCTTATGGCTAGTAGGATTCACTTTGTGTTCTTGTTCTACATCCTTCGTCTGGTCGTCATCTCCTGTACGACTCAATAAACTGTTCAACTATCACGACGTTCCTGCATTGCTGCTATTATACGCCACTGAACCACCACACATCGTCTAAACCTACATTCATCGACGGTACCTCTATAGTGTTGGTGCATCGGCCGACGTGAGTTTTTGGTTCGTACAACTTCAGAGCAAACCAGAGATCTCCACATTGGCTGCACATTCTACATCTCGATCCGAGGCTCAGTATTCTACCTTCGTCAACCGTTTTCTGTGAAGAGTTTGTCGATTTTGGATTTTCGTTCACGAGATGGCTGTCAAACTTAGCGGAAAGCAGTCATGGCTCACTCGAATGAGCACAGTATTGGCCGAAGCACTCGAAAGGTACGCTTCACTGGAAAGTCTTGATGGAGACGCAGAAAATGAGTCCAACCACTACCGAATACGACGCATACACCAGGAACGTCAGGAATTGGAAATCAAGATGGCTAATCTGCAACAAGCGCTAGACCACTACATTGAAGCAGCTGACGAGCTGCAACCACCACCAGAAGGAAGCCAAATGGTAAAAATTGAACAGAACATTGATAACGCCCATACTGTACGTCTGAAAGGCCAGAATCGTCTGACCGAACTCTCTCTGATCCTCAGACAAAATGAGGATCTAGAAATACCCACTTCGCCCTTGGACGAGACGGTTATGCCGCGTCTCGAGCCACTTCACATTCCCAAGTTCGATGGACGACTATGGGAGTGGGATCACTTTTGGGGCATTTTCGACACCGTCGTCCACACGAGGAACCTCAGCAAAATTGAAAAGCTGAGCTACCTACTAGAAGCCCTACAGGGGCCAGCAAAGGACACGGTTAGCAAGCTCCAAATCACAGCGGACAACTACGACGTTGCCGTCCAACTTCTGAAGAATAAGTACGACAATCAAGACGCAGTTGTTAACCAGCTGCTTCAAGAGTTGCAAGACCTGCAACCGGCAAGCACTACAACTACCGACCAAATGAATACACTGGACAAGATAGTCCCTATCATTTCTCAACTGGAGCGGAAAGGAGAAAACACCAACACGCAACAGATGCGACGCACAGTCTTGAAGAAGTTTAGCGACAAAATCCAGCGAGCCATGCTGAAAAAGAAGACATCCTTCCACGGAGCGAGCTGGACAACAAAGCAGCTTCTTCAGGACCTCCAGGATTTCTTCAATATGGAAGCTCAAATTGAGAATATACGAGGAACCATAGAAGAATCCAACATTAGCACTCCGCCCGTTGGGAGAACAAACACACTTGCAAACAACCGAAACAACAGGACTTCTCCTGTTTCTACTGCAACGAGAGCGATCATGCACCGAGATCCTGCTCAAGGTATCCTACAATTGATCAGCGGTTGCAGCTCATAAGTCAACGAAATCTCTGTCACAACTGTGGATCAGGAGAACATCGCACCAAAAACTGCACTCGAGGAGCCTGCCGACAATGCAAGCAAAAGGGTCACCACACCTCGATCTGTCGGAAATCCCTCAATCCGCAAGCATCAGCCAAACAACCAGTAAGAGATGCTCCGCAAAAGACCCATACAGAAGGGCACGCAACAAAGAAAATGGCAACAGGACAAAACTCCACCGTAACTGCCGAAAAGAGCTCAAGGTTGAGCCAAATCAATGACCAAGCCATACTACACCACCAAGATATTTCA